TGTGGATGCACATGTTATGCTTAATCCCTTCCGGACTGGGACGTGTATCGTTGAGGTGCCCTTCTAAGAAGGTGGTCACCTGCCTACTCACCAATGAGTATCTCTCATTCGTGAGGTCTGGTCTCAAAAATGAGACCAAAGTGGTTCTGGTCTCAAAAATGTCCAGTTAAAAGGCCAGCATCAGCATCATCCCTTATCTTCCCCATTTTGGGGCAGGAAATTTAAAGACTGCCTCGAGGATATTAAATATATCCTAGAGGCTCAAGGTTATTTATCGAAGACTTGTGGTAGCTGCTGCACACACCACTGTGGTTTAGTGATGTAGTTAACGTTTTTTATTTACATTTCTGGAGGGAACTCCTTGTGACATCCTGAAGCTACCCATTTCTCCGATATAAGTGTCATCTATTAGGTGCCATCAGTTACAAGTTCTCTTGCTTACAGGGCACCCAGAGCCAGAACTTGGCTCCCTTACAGAGGTACAGGGAGCCATGGGATTTATATACAGTAGTAAGTTATTCATTGATGCAACCACGGAAGAAGGAACCCAGAAAGTCAGCAAATCAAAACAAACCACAGTTGGCTGCCTCTGAGACCTGCATACTCAAAAACGGCCATAGAACTCCCCAAACTATATAAACAAAGACCAAGGGTATGAATCCTGCAACAAACACAATTCTACATTAATGCTGAATCCACTAATTACCTGAGAATTCCACTTTTCAGGAAATTCTACATTAATCTTAGATGCACTAATTACAATTATCTATTCCCAAGTGCATCACTCAGGCCAGCTGACAGATTACCTGCTAAATGTTGGTCAGTTTGGTAAAATGAGGTGAGGCTTGTAATATAAAGTCCAAGAACAAAAGTGTCGTTAGTCAGTTTAACACGAATTGTAGTTCAGTACAGATGCCTTAGAGATACACCCCGGATATTCAAAACCATCGACATTCACCAACAACAACGTAACACTCGTCGAGATCGGGTTCCTACTCTTACAAGACGCTTGAGCCTCGCTACAAAGACAGCCAAATTCTGGCCATATCTGGGCTTCCAGCTTTTGTTCTGCATTGGAGCTCTTCGATCCCTCCATATTCGAGCTCCACGCTCTCACCCCACATCCAAGCTCTCTACCCCCTGCTTCACTCATGTTCTCTGACCCTTGTTCCAGGCCTCATCTCTGCTGTCACAACACGATAGGTCAGTTGTGTTTTGACAGAAATCTCTAACAGAGATTTGGGGTATACTGATATACTATACAGATCTGGTATACTGTACAGAGAACCACTGGGTTTGTAAATTTAAGCTATCCAAAAAATTCAGTTTCACGATCA